AATACAAGATAAAGCTAAAGCAATGATATTTCTGCGGCACCATTTAAATGAGGGATTGAAAAATGAATACTTAACTGTGAAAGATCCTGCGGATCTTTGGAAAGCTTTGAAAGAAAGATACGATCATCAGAAAACAGTAATTCTCCCCCGGGCTCGTTATGAATGGATGCACTTACGCTTCCAAGATTTTAAAACTGTAAACGAGTTCAATTCAGCCATGTTCCGCATTTGCTCGGTATTGAAATTATGCGGGGAAAACGTAACTGATTACGATATGCTTGAAAAAACGTTGTCCACATTCCACGCTTCAAACGTACTTTTGCAGCAACAATACAGAGCAAAAGGCTTTGTGAAATATTCTGAGCTGATTTCTTGCTTGTTGCTAGCCGAACAAAATAATGAGCTGTTGATGAAAAATCATGAATCTAGACCCACGGGGTCTACTGCGGTCCCTGAAATAAATTCTGTAATATCTAAACAGGGAACCGGAAATGAAAACAGCCAAACAAATGTGCGTGGATGTACCTCGGGACGTGGCCGTGGTCGTGGACGTGGACGTGGACGTGGCCGTGGATATGGTCCAGATAGAAATTATGGACGAGGCCGAAATTTTTTCCCAGGATACAAATCTGGCCGAGGTAATTATCATGGACATGGAAAAAACGATTTTCATAAACATTCTGAAAATAATAAAGGGGATAACGATGAAAAGGCATGCTATCGATGTGGTAGAAATAACCATTGGGCTCGAAATTGTCGAGCCCCAAGGCACGTGGTTGAAAAATACCAAGATTCCCAGAAATCAAAAGAGAAGAATATAGAAACTAATTTTATGGTTGGGGAATCCTCTGAAAATGATGCAACGCGTGTGGATGATGACTATGGCATCGATGACATATTGAAACTGGATTTTGCCGATGCGGCATTTGAAGACGGAGCTGGAAATGACCTAGAGAATAACTGATGATCATGTTTTTATTTTGCTTTTTGAGTTGTAATGTATTTGTGTATGAGCTACTTGTATCTGTACTTTGAATTTGATCAATAATAAATGTTGTTTTCTTTTAGATCATGGATCGGTCTCGAATTCAAGATGGAGATATATGTATTGCAGATTGTGCTACTACTCATACTATCCTCAAGGACAGAAAATATTTCGTGAACTTGAAATTAAATGAAGCAAAAGTAAACACAATATCCGGAAGTGCAAAGATAATTGAAGGTTTTGGAAAAGCCATATTTTTTATGATGGGCGGTACAAAATTTATATTAAATGATGCACTATTCTCCCCAAAATCAACAAGAAATTTGTTGAGTTTTAAAGATATCCGAACGAACGGATACCACATTGAAACGATGAATAAAGGGGGAGTTGAATATCTTTGCATTACCTCAGATAATGCGGGAAATAAATGTGTTTTGGAGAAGTTACCCGCTTTATCCTCGGGTTTGTATTATACCCGGATTGATATAATTGAGGCATATGCTGCAACAAATTCAAAGTCGAATGAAATATTTAAACTTTGGCATGATCGACTTGGTCACCCTGGCTCGATAATGATGCGACGAATTATTGAAAATTCTAGTGGCCATCCACTAAAAAATGAGAGGATATTACAAACACATGAGTTGACATGTGCCTCTTGTTCTCAAGGAAAATTGATAATGAGACCATCACATACTAAAGTCGGACATGAATCTCCATTATTTTTAGAAAGGATTCATGGTGATATATGTGGACCTATTCATCCACCTTGTGGTCCATTCAGATATTTTATGGTGTTGATTGATGCCTCTAGTAGATGGTCTCACGTAAGTTTGTTATCCACTAGAAATATGGCATTTGCTAAATTACTTGCCCAACTTATTAAATTAAGGGCTCAATTCCCAGATTATATTATCAAGAGAGTCAGACTGGATAATGCTGGAGAGTTTACATCTCAAGCATTTAATGATTATTGTATGGCTGTGGGAATTGATGTTGAACATCCTGTGGCACATGTTCACACTCAAAATGGTCTAGCAGAATCACTTATTAAACGACTGCAGCTTATAGCTAGACCATTGATAATGAGAACAAAACTCCCCACTTCAGTATGGGGACATGCTATTCTGCATGCAGATGATCTAATTCGAATAAGACCAAGTGCATATATACATTCTCGCCATTACAGTTGGCATATGGTTGAGTACCAAATATTGCACATATAAGAGTTTTTGGTTGTGCAGTATATGTACCAATTGCTCCGCCACAACGTACAAAAATGGGGCCTCAAAGAAGGTTGGGAATATATGTTGGATATGAATCTCCATCAATAATCAAATACCTTGAGCCAAAGCAGGTGATGTTTTTACAACTCGTTTTGATGATTGTCATTTTAATGAAGAATTGTTTCCCCCTTTAGGTGGGAATGAAAAGTCAATTGAGAGAAATATTGAATGGAGAACATCCGCATTATCATATCTTGATCCTCCCACCAAACAAAGAGAGCAAGAAATTCAAAAGATCATACATTTGCAGAATATTGCAAATCAATTGCCAGATGCATTTACTGATTTAAAAAGGGTGACCAAATCACATGTGGTAGCCGTAAATGCCCCTGCTCGAATTGAGATTCCAAAAGAAATGGCAAATGACGATAAGCCAAATGAGTCAAAGACACGCTTGAAACGAGGAAGACCAGTTGGGTCTAAAGATAAGAATCCTCGAAAGAAAAGAGAAATTCTTGACTCCAATTTGAAAAGGAATCAAGATGATGGAAAAATTTCGGGACAAAATGAAAATATTGAAATTTCCATCAATTACGTGAACAATGGGAATCTTTGGAAGCGTGATGAGATCATGAATAATGATGATGCATTCGCATATATGGTATCAAAAGAAATTGATAATGAAGTTGAGGATCCTGAACCAAAATCTGTAGCTGAATGTCAGAAAAGACGTGACTGGGATAAATGGAAAGGCGCCATTCAAGCCGAGTTAGATTCACTAAATAAACGAAAAGTTTTTGGGCCTATTTCCATTATACCAAAAGGCATAAAACCCATTGGATACAAATGGGTTTTCACCAGAAAAAGAAATGAGAATAATGAGATCACGAGATATAAAGCTCGCCTTGTTGCACAGGGATTCTCCCAAAGGCCTGGGATCGATTATGATGAAACATATTCCCCTGTCATGGATGCAATTACTTTCAGATACTTGATGAGTTTAGCTACCCATGAAAATCTTGAGATGCGTCTCATGGATGTTGTGACTGCTTACTTGTATGGATCATTAGACACCGACATATACATGAAAGTCCCAGAAGGAATCAGAATGCCCGAAGCACTGAACTCAAAACCTAAGGAGTTATGTGCGTTAAAGTTGCAAAGATCATTGTATGGCTTAAAACAATCCGGGCGTATGTGGTATAATTGTTTGAGTGAACAATTACTAAAAAGGGGATACTTGAATGATCAAATATGTCCGTGTGTTTTCATAAAGAAATCACATGATGGAGTTGTGATAATTGCTGTCTATGTTGATGATCTTAATATTATTGGGACAGCAAATGAAATTCGAGAAGCAGTTACTTTTCTGAAAGGCGAATTTGAAATGAAAGATCTCGGAAAAACTAAATATTGCCTTGGCTTACAGATAGAGAGAGTACAAAATGGGATATTCGTCCATCAATCTAACTATACTAAAAGAGTACTGAAACGATTTAATATGGACAAAGCTAATCCCCTTAGTACTCCTATGGTTAACCGAACATTGGATGTTGAAAAGGATCCATTTCGACCTTGTGAAGAAAATGAAGAAATACTTGGTCCTGAGGTACCATATATGAGTGCAATAGGGGCTCTTATGTATCTTGCTAATTGCACCAGACCAGATATATCTTTTGCTACCAACTTGTTAGCAAGATATAACTCGTCACCTACAAGGAGACACTGGAATGGAATCAAGCATATATTCCGTTATCTCCAAGGAACAATCGATCTGGGATTATTTTACTCAAATGATAAAAAACATGAAATGATCGGTTTTGCAGATGCAGGATATTTATCAGACCCACATAAGGCGAGATCTCAGACTGGCTACGTTTTCACTATTGGTGGAACTGCATTTTCCTGGCGTTCTCAGAAACAAACACTAGTTGCTACATCTTCAAACCATGCTGAAATCATTGCACTGCATGAAGCAACTAGGGAGAGCATCTGGCTCAGAAATATGACTCAACACATTCAACAAGCCAGTGGATTATCAAATAATAAAGATCCGACGGTCATATTCGAAGACAATGCAGCATGTGTCGCTCAGACCAAAGAAGGATACGTCAAGAGTGACAGAACTAAACATATCCCACCAAAGTTCTTCTCATACACTCAAAAGCTTGAAAGGAACAAACAGATCAAGATTCAATACATCCGATCATGTGATAATGTAGCAGACTTATTTACGAAGGCGCTCCCAACTACAACATTTCGAAAGCACGTCCATAACATTGGAATGAGACATCTTCGAGATTTACACGGATGATAACTCGAGGGGGAGCATGTGCGGCTGTACTCTTTTTTCCTTATCTCGGTTTTTTCCCACAGGGTTTTTCCGAATAAGGTTTTTAATGAGGCAGCATAAACGCACATTGCATAGTGGTAATTCCAAGGGGGAGTGTTATAAACAAGTCACAAGTGGAATGAACCACTATGCATAAATAGTGACATTTAACTATTTGAAGGAATGAGAATAGTGATAGGATATAAATCTTATGTAAATTATTGAATGTATTGTCGGAAAATTTTGCCTATAAAAGGCACCCGAAATGAAATGGAAAATACACCATTGAAAGAAAGAAAGAAGAAAGAAATATTCAGTATAATTTCTATCCGGTTTCAATTTTGTGTTCTTTATCTTTTTCGTTTTTATAACATTAAGAAAAAAAAAAAAAAAGAAAGGACCCCTATTATCCATTAAATATAGACCAATGTTTACCCATACTTTACTACTCCCAGATAAATATGTGGAGAGCTAGGCCCGAGCGGCGCATATATATACCGTAGAATAAAATCCCTCATCTCAATCTAGGTTTTTTACAACCCTTACCATACTCAGAGACTGCGGACTAAAATCCTTGTTCAGTTGATTAGCACCATGACAGATGAAGTGGCTTACGCGGCCGCAGGAGGCGAATCGAACAAGCGCAAGTACGACGATTCGCCGTCTCCGGTGGCGCGCAGGGCGACGGGGTTCTCGTCTCCTCCCGACTCCGCCCCGCCGCCGCCTTCTTACAACAGCGTCCCTCCGCCGATGAACGAGATCGAGGCGGCCAAACAGAAGGCGCAGGAGATTGCAGCTAGGCTCTTGAATAACGCGGACCCCTCCAAAAGAGCGAGAGTTGAGAACGGAGCTGGCGTTGGTGGCGGATTTGATGCTATCGATGCAGGTTTGGATTTTATTATTCACCATACGATGGTTTCTTGTCTGTTTTATTTGCTTTGTCAGTCTGATGTGTTATTATACTGCAAAGCAGTTGAATTGCTATCTGTCTGAGCTTCTTATGCGTGATTAGATGTTTATGAGTCACGCGTGGATACCATGTGTTGTCTTACATAACTTGAACTTGTTTTGCACAGTGAAGGGGCGTAGAGCTTCTGTATTGTCTGGTATGATAATTATTTCTCTGAGGCTCTCAGTTGTTAAATAGTTATTGTTGAGGAAGGGGCGTATAACTTCTGTATTGTCTGGATATGATAATTATTTTTCTGAGACTCTCAATTGTTAAATAGTTATTGTTGAGGCTTAATTTGTTTATAGGTTAGATGTTTTTTATTTTTCAGTCTTGAATATAATTTTGAGCATAATGTTTATGGGCTTGTTATAGTTAGTTCTTTGTAAGTATATGTTAGATTGTCATCTGTCCGGCTGTCCCCCATGGTTTATTTCGTAACTTCTGTCATTTTTTGTGACATGTTTATGCTTGTGGCATCTTGATGTGAGATTGGGTTGTGATGAAACTGTTGTATTATGTTTATGAGTAGGTAGCGGTCAGAAGCATTATGGTTTGGGTCTTAGTGGTCCACCTCCAAGCGCATCATTTGGTTACCCAGGCCCCAGCAAGAAAATTGAGATACCAAATGGGAGGGTTGGTGTCATTATTGGAAAAGGTGGGGAAACTATCAAATACCTACAAACTCAGTCAGGCGCTAAGATCCAGGTCACAAGAGACATGGATGCAGACCCTAATTCTACTACCAGAGCCGTTGAACTCACTGGTACCCAGGATCAAATAGACAAGGCAGAGAAATTGATAAATGATATTCTTTCAGAGGTCTGCAAATAATTACAGTCTTTTGAGTACTCATAGCTGATTTTCGGATGATTATGACAAATCTTTTATGTTTAGAAGACATGCCTTAATATTCGTTCATTGTTATAGTTCTGTTCAGCACTCTGATGATGGATGCTTTTAAAGAAAAACTATATAATAGGATGCATCCTATCATTTATAACCTTCTGTTATGCTGACAGTTGCTTGTTGATTGGATAGGCTGATACAGGTGGTTCTGGCATTGTATCTAGGAGGATGGGTGGGCAAGGAGGTGGAGCTGATCAGTTTGTTTTGAAGGTCCCCAACAATAAGGTACTTGAGAAGTGGTTGTTGTATATGATCGTTTTCCTTCTATAGAATTTTTGGTACAATCGGTAGCTATTTTCAGGTTGGACTTGTTATTGGTAAAGGAGGTGAAACTATTAAAAATATGCAAGCAAGGACTGGTGCTCGCATTCAGGTGCACTTTCTGTACCTATAATATGAGTTCATACAGATATATGAAGTGCATTGATATTCTTGGTTTTCTACATAGCTCTCATTTTTCACTTCAGTTTCATGAGTGAAGTTCTTTCCAAAATATTACAGGTCATACCTTTGCACTTGCCACCTGGTGATACGTCAAACGAAAGAACAGTGCAGATTGATGGAACTAAAGAACAGATTGAAGCTGCAAGACAGTTGGTCGAAGAAGTTATCAGTGAGGTTTGTTCAATAGTTGTTTTCTTGTTTGTATAGTTTAATATGCTATATAAAAATATTTATGTACTCCAATGTGGAATAGGTGTTTTTAGTTCTTCACTTCTCTTTCTTCAAGTTCTGCTCTCATTTCAAAAAAGCTACTGTTAAAACATTTGAACTTGTGCAGCTTTTTCTAATATTGCTCTTTATCTGAAGTGTTGGGTACATGTCATTATTTGGGATGCTCCGTGCCAGTTTCTATGCCATAACTGTTTTAAGTTGTGACTTTTCTTGAAGTTGATTAGGCCATTCTCTATGAATAGTGTTTTCTGCATCAGCAAATAGTTCGGTGATAATTCCCTCTAAAAAAATATGAACTCTATCCGCGTTCCCTATATGCCTTTTGTGAACAATAGATGTGCAGATCTATGTCCCTAGTCAAAATGATCCCCAGATGGCAGAGTTCAGCCTATGCTGCTTTTATGCATGGAATGGGTAACTACTTGCTATCTGATTTGGCCATATTCTTACTTTCTGTTGCAGATTGAGGCCTCATTTCCTGGTTATTTTTCCGCTGTAGTATAGCAACTCGATATTCTTTGGGTTTTATTAGTACTTGATATCTTGCCCCCAAAATCTTGGTTTATTAGCATTTAACTGTCCATATCATCTTGTTAATTGCAAGAGCAATGATTAGTGTTTAAGATGTTGCCCACCCCTTTTTTTGGTATACTGGATATTTGGTTTCCTATGAGGCAGGTTTTCATGGACTCTCTCCTATGAGGTGACTAAGCAACATATGAAGTTTCTTATAATATTGAGTATTTATCTTAAATATTAATACACCTTAGTTTAATAATTAAGTGATTGTTTATTTAGATTATCACATCTGATATGGATATGAAGGGTCAATTTGTATCTGGTGACTGATGTAGGGGTTACAAGATGTTGGAGACTTGGTGACACCAACATGTGCTTGTTTCATGTTGGTGTTTCCTCGGCAACACTCCAGTATGATTTTAACTCTTTATTTGTATTGGCCAATGTTACATCATAGATGATTCCACAACGATAGAAGCCGAGCATGGATGGAGGGAATAGAAGAATATTTTAATAGCGCCTGTGATTATTTATTGCTAACCTCTACGATAATCTGCTTGCATCGTTAATGATTATATTAATATATTAACTTGGTGCATTGAACATATTGAATTCCCCTCCTCCGTATGATGTTTGCTTATAAGATTCTTCCAGTGGACCTATAACCTCGTACTATTGCCATAGATGAATAGTGCATTTCTATTTTTCTTTTTTGTATACCTATCCACCTTCCGAGTAGGGAGATGATGAGCATCTGCCGGAGTTATGCAATAACGCGATCTCACCATTACGGTAAGTAGGCGTTAATCTCCGTCTTCATGCAACTATGCTTTGTGTTTTGGCGTATGAAGGATTATTTCTGTAACTGATTGAATACTTATCTCCGGCCTTGTCTTTTCTTTAGATTATTCTGTTTGCTCCATGCACATCATAACTGTAAGTGTCGAATTAATCACTCGTAGAATGTTCATTTCTGAAAAAAAAAATAATAATTTTTGCACAGAACCGCATGAGAAACCAAGCAATGGGTGGAGGAGGAGGGTATAATTCTCAGCAAGGGTACCAAGCACGGCCTCCGACCAACTGGAGCCAGCCTGGCGGCCCACCCATGCAGCAACCCGGCTACGGCTATGTCCAGCCTGGCGCATACCCCGCCCCTCAACAGTACAACCCAAATTACACCAATTACCCTCCCACGTACACTTCTGGCTGGGACCCATCTCAAAACCCGCAAACTGCCCCGGGAGGAGGTTCTAACTACGATTACTACAGCCAGCAACAGCAAACCCACGGTGGCCCGGCCGATAATTATCCGCAGGGAGGACAGGATAGCTATGGCGGTTACCAATCTGGCTATGGACAGCCAACAACTAATCCTAGTGGCGGATATGAGCAGCAGCAGAAGCCGGGAGGCTATAACTCGACTTACGGCAACCCACCAGCCGACGGGAGTGAAACCAGCCAACCACCGGCCCAGCCCAGCCCGAATCCAAACTATCCTTACGGAAGTCAAGTGGCGTCTGGTTATGGTGGGGCCCAGGCTCAGAAGCCTAGTTATGGGCAGTTGCCTGGATATCCTCCTCCTCCTCAGCCAGCACAAACGGGGTACGTTCAGACGGATGCGGGTGCGCAAAGGCCACCAGCGTCGGGTTATCCACAGTCGTCTCAGGTAGGGTATGGAGGGGCAATGGCTTATGGTGGAGGATATGCTCAGCAGCCGTATTCTCAGCAGGCTCCTCCTCCCCCGGCTTATTCTACTGATGTGGCTCAGCCTGCTGCTGGCTCTGTTAAAACCTCGCCGCCTAGTTGAAAAGGGATTGGAGTTGGTTTGGGTTTTATTTGGTGTTTGGTTGCTTGCGGGGCTGCTTAGATTTGTTTGTATTTTTTGGGTAATTTTTTAGGTGCTCTAGTTTTGAGACGTTCGGATGCTTGTATTTGTGTTTTTCCTGAGACTTCCCCCTTCTTTATTTTGTTTTGGATATTGAGTTTGCTGGTGTTGGAAAACTGTTTTGTTGCTGGATATGTTGGCATATCTGTATGGTGTTAAGAGTGCGCTTCTTTTCTTTATCTCATCTCATACCATTATAAACAAATGTTTTACAAGTGTAGGGTCAACTAACCCTAATCACCCAAAACAAAACACTCAAGGAACAGAACCGGTGCTCTAACATAGAAATGTACTGAGAAAACTGGTGCTTTTAAATAGAAATCTTTTGAAAAATTAGCACAGTATTTTTGTCTAATAGTAAAATATATATGTTGAGGAGGGTAACTTTTCATTTTCTCGTTATGTGAATGTATCCATTTCACTATCTGAAGTTATTACAATTTAGGAATAATGAGTTATTTTGCGTAAAAGTTATGAATTTATGTTAATATCATTTTTTATTTTGTGTATGATACGGATAATGTGTGAAGATACGCAATTTATATGTACGGTTCAATTAAATTGTATGGGTCAATCGGCTTTCTCAAAGTGACTCGATGACGCAACACATGTCTGGTTTAAACACCAGTTCAAGTTCCAATACATTGATGGAGTATTTTAGTGTAGGAAGAAAATAAACTGGAATCAGAAGTCGGAAATTTTAGTTGAGTTTTTTGCAAGCTGGAATTGGAAGAATGTTCTGTACATTGTCAAGAAATGCCTGTGAAGGGAACTGTCAAGTCTCGTGTTTGAAACACAAAAGATAAATCAATGTCCAAATACAAGAACATTATTAATGCCAAACTTGGCACACCATAGCCTCTTCTGATGTATATCCTATATTTGCATAGACAGCAAGCCCCACTCTAGTTTTAACAAAATAAGTATACTATTCCACAAACACTCTCTAAACAGGCAGTGTTGAAACTTGGAAGTGTATTTGGCCCATACTTCTTTCTATGAGCCAATATCCTATATTATAACTCTTTCTACAAACAAAAAGATGTATCCTGCCAAGACAACTACAACATGTAATTCCTGAAAGCGGATATTACTTTTGGTGATAGCAACAGAACGAAAGCTACGACAGAACCAAACAACATTTTGATAGCGTATTTAACGAGATCATTCTCGGCCTCATCTGATGTGGCGCTTGAGGTGGTGGATATTGCCTCGGCCGAAGGGACTGCTTCAATAATTGCATCCGCAAGGTCTGAGATGAAGGACGATGTACAGTTTAGAGCGGGAACTCGGCCCCAATTAACAATACCAGATTTAAGGGCCAATTCTCTGTACTCCATGTCGATTTCTTCAAGGGTTTCTATGTGCTCACTCACAAAACTGCAAAATTAAACAATAACAATTGTATCGCATATCAAGTGTGGCAGTTGCAAAATGCAATCTCCAAAAATATATTTCTGTCCCTCCCACCAAGTGATGGATTCAAGAATCTCTACTGTAGTAAAATTGTTTTACTCAAATGATTTTTACATGAAAAAAGTGGTATTGCTTAATTAAGATGTACTGGCTCTAGTGGCAATGAGGCATATCCTCCTGCATTTGAGGTTGCCATTTCAACCCTTTTACATTTTCCTTTTCTTTTCTTGTGTAGCATTCAGAAAATTATTGGGTAATTAACTCTTAAATAATTCCACGAAAATGACTTTGTAAGCAAATGAAAGAGGAAAGATCTAAATTTTTTCATCAACATGAAAAATAGTCCTAGTTCCTTGCATCTAGAGCAAACTGGAATATACTGTATAGTTTATCATGAGAAATAAGAAAAGCACACAGAGAGAATTTAGAAGCATACCTCACTGGAACAGCCAGAAGAGACTTTACACCTTGCTGACCAAGCTCGACAAGCACTTCATCAGTATACGGTTTCAACCACTGCACAGGACCCACACGGCTCTGGTACACCAGAATAGAATATTAAGAGAAGCAATACCAAAGAAAGACTAGTTATGTTATAAAGGGTGGTTGCCCCTAGAAAGGATCTTAAACCGGCTATTGGTAGGCTAGTTAAAATCAATTGTTTGCACCATGCATTAAAAACTTAGAATCTCAATAAAAACCCAAAACTGATTACAGAAACGAACCTGGTAAGCCAATGTATGATTATTCATTATTCCTCTAGATTTAAGTTCTTGCATTATTAGCAAAATACAGTCTTCCATCTGATCCCTGTACGGATCACCTGCGTCCTCAACATAGCTGACAGGAACTCCGTGTGCACTGAAAAATATCATAACCTTCATCACAGAACAATAAGATATTATTACCTCTTATGGTGATAGCATGTGCACCATTAGCATTTATAAAGCTGCCAGAACAATTTATTTTGACATTACCCACCTCTTCTGGGTTTGGAAAAATCTCCAATTCCTTTTCAACTAAGTCGGCCATAGACCTGATATAACCTTCCCGTTGATACCATGACTGAATGATGGCAACAGGCAGTCTCGACAGATGAGAATCATTCCTGATTAAAGTACAAAAATAACATTTAACAAGAAAAAAAAAAAGAAAAAGAAAAGCTGATGCAATCATTAAGATTTGTCAATGTAATACCTAAACATGTCACGAAGAACACGGATGCTTGATCCTGTTGTAGAAATAGAATACTGTGGATAGAGTGGCAATACCACGAGCTTTGTAATCCTATCTCTTTTTATCTATGAAAGAAAGATGCCGAACGAGATTATCTTTTGAATTCAGCAAGTACATGATGAAACAGGAAATTCTCCAGAAAGGTTGAAGTACTGATACAGGCTTGAAAATTATCAAACAATGAAGAATTAAGAGGACGTACAAATGATACATTGTCCAAAATCAACTAGCAATCCCTAGACAGAAACTACAGAACGAAGTTCATCAAAAATGGGTGCAATTCAGTAATTCCACAAAACCATTTAATTCGAGTAACTTGCCTGATGGACAGCTTCCTCAGTGAATGGATGCCAGTACCGCATGGCCACATAGACATTTGCAGAAACTTCTTTAGCTTCTAGTGCCGATTTTAATGCACTTGCCTAAAAAAAATATGAATGAAATGTTTTACAGCCTAAAAGCTGTCTCCATCTTGATAATATCAGAAACTATTAAAATGAGACTCCGCCCTGAAACCTGCTCATCTGTTATTTTACGCAACGGCGAACCACCTCCAATGGCAGCATAACCTTCTTTACTTTTAGGCGCTCGTAAAACTGAAATTAATTGCGCAAGAGGACGTTGAAGAAATCGGAACAACCTTGGAAGGCGAATGATATCCTTTGACAGGAAAATTAAAAATAAATAAATAAATATATATGAAAACAAACAACCTAATTAGTAAGATACACATGATATCACCATAAACATACAGGATCAGCAAACAAATTAAACAAGAAAGGCTGAACATCTTGCAGGGACTCGGGTCCTCCAAGATTCAAAAGCATCACTCCTATTTTTTCATCTGTTGAATGAGCATGGGATCCAATTGTGTCGCCTGGAAATGTGCACACCCCAGCCGAACAAAATGTTCTTCCAGATATGCCCTTTTTCTGCACAGGAAGTCTCAATGCCAGTGACAGTTCAGCCATACTTTTCAAGCCACTCCATTTAGAAGATGTGTTGAAGAGAGGTGATATGACTTTAGTCTGGGGCCGCAGCCTGCAGATGCACAAATTTAATCAAATTTGTTTAAGCCCTTTTCATATCAACATCGTTTTTACTTTTCAGATAAATCACCCAACCACAACAGTTCATTTTACGGAAACACTAAGATCAAGTTGCCCCTCATCAACCAAAGAGGAAATTCTCAAGACATAGAGCGCCATTAACAGAAACAAAAATGAACATAATCATACCACAAGTACCATAGGAATGAAAAACCTAAATCATGAAATGGCTTACGGTTCAGAATTGTACATTTGGGGCATAATCCTAGAGCCTGTTGCAGCCTCCATAGCTCGGAGTTCTCAACAAATCCTCCCCAAACAATAAAATAATCAAATATGTCTGATTAAATGAAATGCATTCAAATTGTTTTTGTAAAGGTTCTTATATTCGGTGTGTCGAGATCAGTAAGTGGCGAATCTGTTTAGGAATGAAATAAAGAATTTGGTGAAGAAATGATGGAACGTGTTTCCCTTTCAGCAGAGTTGGTTCAAAATTACCAAACACCCTTACCTAAAACCAACTAAAAGTCCATCACTGATGATCGCTCGCTGGCCCCACCTATCCAGCCGCTGGTTCCCACCGAAGTGATCGCTCGCTGGCCCCACCTATCCAGCCGCTGGTTCCCACCGAAGTGATCGCTCGCTGGCCCCCCAACTTCATGCTTGCCCCACCTATCCAACCGCTGGTTCCCACCGAGTTTCAGCCTCTCACACTACCGCTTCTAGTCCTCAGTATTAATTGCTCCACCATTGCGCTCCGGGGGGCTCGAACCCTTGACCTCATGTCAAGGGTGCCTCACTCTTACCACTAGGCCAAGAGGTCATTGGCATCACCGACTTTTTATTAACACTATGCAGTGGTGAATGTTTTTTTGCTTTAATCATATAAATTAATTGAGGGTGAATTTTAGGGGTGTTCACAGTCCGGATTGGTCCGGTGTTAGCCCAAACTATGAACAAACTGTACCTAATGGTTAAATTTTTTTCTTGTCCATAACCAGACCGGTTTTATTTTTTAACCGACCATAATCCGGACCGCATTGGACGGTCCGGTTTGACAGTTAACCGATTAAATCCAAAATCCTTGTTTTGGGCCTTCAATTTTTATTTTTTTCATTTTGGGTTTAATTTTTATTTTTCAATTTTGGGCCTAAAAGAGATTATTTGGGCCTAAAATTAAGAAAAACAACAATAATGAAATAAATAATACACAATTCGTCCCATGAGCATAAAAATACATCGCCTCATAAACATAAAAATATAAAAATGATGAAGATTAAATTATGCAAACTGAACCCAAGCAAGCATTAATTTTTCAGTCAGTTTATACACCTGAAATAATAAGAGCAAAGCATTCATAGTGAATGTATTGTATTTGTCGGCCATAGTTTTTTAATATTTACCGGTCCGGTCTGGTTAAATTGGCGGTTTGCCACAGGTAATCCGTTAACCGAACCGGTTATTCCGGATTTTTAAAAATAATTAACCACCGGATTTTTTAAGACTTTTTTAACTGACCATTTAACCGATCCGCGGTCCAGATTGACAGTTTTTTTTCGGTTAAAACCGGACCGTGAACACCCCTAGTGAATTTCGTTTACACCCCAATATATACATGTACTTTCTTTACAGTCTCATCAAAAAATTTCTTTTTCACTCCAATATTCACGAACCTATATGCGATATAAAATTCCCTATACATATGAATTGCATAATTGATTTCGTCGTATATGTACTAACACATATTCAAACCAGACGCATAGTTAACAATATAAAATATATTCACATATTTATTAATCATATATCTAAATCATCGCATAATTTTTGTTATGCGAATTTATTTCGGATATATATTTATTGCATATTCAAATTGATACCATCATATTTTATGATTATGCGATAGGTTTTCGCATATTTTACGTTTCACATATCCAAATAGGACGCATAGTTAACTAGTATGCGAAACACTTACGCATATTTATTTCGCATATATATAGTTATCGCATATCCAAATCATAGCATATTTTATGGTTATGCGACACGTTTTTACATATTCATGACTCGCATATCCAAAATCCACTGCATAATTTACCATATGCGATATCCAAATGGAACATCACATATTTTATTTTGTGCGACATACTCTCGCATATTCGAACTCAACTGCTTAACTGTCACTGTTTTGCCGCATTTGCTCTAGGGCCCTTCTAAGCCCAATGAGGTGCACCCATTTTTGACCGATTATTTTCCCAAAGAGACTACAACTACATTCATCAGAGCTATGTTGGATGTCTCCCGAATCAAGAGAGATAATTGTTGATCCTTTCTTCGAGAGTTGGAAGGACTCTAATTTGTGGCGAAGTTCTTTGTAGCGCCCCATTTGTTCCAGATTTAGTTGCGATATTAAATCGTTATATGTTATTCGAATTAATTATTTTGGCTCGATTAATTAATTTCTACGGGATTATATGCTCGTATTTGCCTAAGTATATTTATTTTATAATTCGAACTCGATATTTTTATTTCGATTAAATGTGCATATTTGATAACTGTATTAAATTAAAAATCGAGCCGTATTATGTTAGCCATATTTATTTTTATTTTTATTTTCGGATTGAGCCCGATAATCAGTATGCGAAATCAGCCGATTCGTAAAACCGTTGTTTATGAATTTATTGAGATTAGTATTATTAATATTATTATTTTAAAATAATGTATGTATTAAATAAATATTTTTCGGTTTTTATTCTTTTATCGTGCGATTAATCGAGCCCGAGTATACCCGTGTGAACCAAACCGATCCGGTTATCATTAATATGTGAGTGTGTGTGCGCGTGTAATTGTTCTTGTAAATCAAGAATAGTCAACATTTTTTTATAGATACAACTATTATATCTATTTGTTCTCTTCTTCCTAAAAAACAAACCAAATCGGATGGCCAACTGTATTTGTCTCTTCATGAATATACTTGATCCGAGAATCACTCGTCATAACATGTTCTTCCTCCTTAAAACCGATTCATCTCGTCTCTTTCTCTGGATCACCCTCTTCTCTCTTATTTTTCTGATTTTTCTGCAGCATCATCTCGTCATCCTCCTTAATTTTTTTTTTCTGCTGCAACTCCGACGAGCCGAGCGTCGCGAGCCGACCACCTTCATTCACCATCACCCCTCGCTGCAGCTCTTTTCGGCGTGAACTAGCAGCGTCCTTCTTGCCGCCGTGAACAACAAACCAGCAACTCCGGCGAGCTGTCCCCGAGCTCCGGCGACGAGATTTCTCTGCAACTCCTTCCGACGAGCCTGCATCGTCGCGCCTCGTCATCACCACCGGTGAGCTCTCCTCCGCAGCTATAGCAGCAAATTTCGGCGAGTTCTCCCCTCCGCGCAGCACGTCCGTCGCGAGCGAGCCTTCTCCGACGAGTTTTCCATTTCTGGCGTCCCTCCATTCGAGCAGCAACCCCGACCATCTTCTGGCGACCTCTGCCGGCGAGATGCTGCCGGCGTGAAGCTAACGTTCGGCCGAGCCGTCGTTCGGCCCGTTTTTCCTCTGTTAGCTCGTAAATTTTTTAAAGCGGGTAACTTATTCGAACCCTCTCGTTATTACGGTCGTGTTCGTATATTACATATACGTATTACCAATTATTTGTTTGAAATCGGATTTTGGTTAAAATTATTACCGTCTCGTATATGTCGTTTCATTTATCGTGTTATGCTCGTGACCTTGTCAAACCGAATATCATGTTGTTGCTGTATTGAACCTCAATGTGCTCGTTTATTTGCTGTCGAGAAATTATATTGATCGTTGTCGAGTTTCGAACCATCCGTTTTGTATTCATTGGTATTTTATGTGAAAATACGTTTTTTTTTGCCGATCTGTTGTGCCGCATTTTAAGCTATCGGAGACTGGTTATTTGAAAATGTGGTCTTCACATGAAATGTAGTATGTTCAGTTTTCTAAACCTGGGCTTTAGAATTTCTTGATTTCGATCTATATCGAAAAAGTTATGATGTTTACAAGATTTGTTGTACTCCCAGTTTTTTCGTACCAGGCAGCATAATTGGATTTAATATTTGATCTGTTTTTCATGTCAAAATGTGTTCGTATGAACTTACACTCATCATGAAAGTTATAGATCTGTCTTTTATCTTTCAAATGAGATAAATTGCATGCTGATATGTGCTCTGTGTCTCGAGTTATGATTTTATGAAATTAGATATGCACGAGTTAGGAATTATCATGTTGGCAGAAATCTGAAACTGAATATTAATCGATTTTGCACCATTCAAATGATCTCATATGCTTATGTGTTCTAAATGAAAGTTGTAGATGCTTTTTTAAGATTTTATTTGAGACTTGAACCATATCATTTTGAGGTTTATAGCTCAAGATAAATGTTTAAAACTGAGGTGTTGTCCATGTCATTATCTTAGTTTTGACAGATTTACTGAATCACATGTTTTGTGTTTAAACTCGTGGATAATGTAATTATCTGCCAATGTGATCTTCAGCAAAGTTGTAGAAAATCTAGTTGCCTATCATGTGGTCTTTGAATTTCATCAAAAGCATGACTGTAGCTCCATTTAGATAGTAAATACTGAAGTCTGGTCAAGTTTATTTTTCCAGTTTTGGACTGTGACTCAAATTTTAATGTGTGTTGATTTATCACCAGTTAAATGATCTTATTTGCTTTAAGTGCCTTCATAAGAATTGTAGATTCATGACTTAGGACTCCAATGCAATTTGATTTATGTTTATATGAGTTGTGTACTGTAAGTTATATTGGTTTTTAAAACGCTGCCCGGGTCAAGTTTTCAAAACTTATGTGATATTTTTGAAAATGTGTTTTCCCTTGTTTTAATGCGTGCTTCAATTATTTCGTGATCTTAGTTAGACTTAGTGATTATAGAATAGTCTTTGATAAGGCTATTTTACCAAATGTAGGTGTTTGACGAGTCGACCTCGCCGCCTACCTTATTTTGTGTTTTCTTCGATCGCTACCAGGTGGGTTCATTTATGTTGAATCTACATTTATCGCACTTGTTATTTCGTATAAATGTTTGTCGCGATAGCTTCTGTATGCGTGAGAACCCTAGTCTAAGTGTCCTGACGGTAGTGCCTTTGACGAATGCATAATCAGTGGAAGTCACCTGCCCGTCGTATCCGGGAGGTGGGCGCCCGAATCCGTGTAGAGAAGAGGGGATTGTCTGAACGCCCGAATCCGTGTAGAGCGGAGGGGTATTTCAACTTCACTGTCTCCTGGATAATATCCTATGCCCGTTGCATCCGGG